AAATCATAAGCTAATCTGTCCAGTAAGCGAATTTCAGGAACGTATATCAAAATGCATCAACTTGTCATCAAGCTGTGGCAGGACTCTAAGCTTTGCTACATATCCCCAGCCTACATTTAATGTCACAAAAAAAAAAAAAAAAAAAAAAACTTCCTAGGTGATTGTAACACGCAGCAAGTGTTGAGAGTATTGGGAGAATTGCTCTGGTGGAGGTCTGAGCTACAAAGTAGTAGCTGGGTTAAAATACACACGTAGAATCAGGGTCTTCATAAATCCTATCTTTGGAGTTTGAAATTATACAAATTATCCTTAGTGATGTAAAGAAATTTACCTCAAAGGTGAGATGACTGCAACTGCTATAAATCTATGTAGCACTGAGGATGTGGTGACAGTCCGAGCTGTAACTCATTTGCATGGAAGAGCAGTGCCACTCTTGGAGGTCCAATGACTGGCAATTTTAAAGGCCTTTGACATTTAAGGCTCCAGTTACACACATAGAAACAAATCATATATTCAACATTTCTCAGTGATGGAATATTTTTTCCTCTTTTCTGTGAATTACTCAGGTAGGATGGCATTTGATTTGATATAATGGCTATGAAACTGAGAATATTTTCACATATGATTTTACATTACACATTTTGTAAATTCATCCTTACATGCCTCCATAACTGAAAATTTTCCTTCATAACTGCTTAACATTAAAAGTCGATTTTATTATCTTTAACGCTGCCGTTTTAAACTACAACTCTATGACTTTTTTCTTAAGAAGATAGTGAGGGATTCTAGGTCTCCTAGGGAGGAAAGTAGGTGCTATTGCCCCACTTGGTCCTGCCCAACCCTGATTCTCCATACATGAGGGAGGAGGGAATACCCTATGAATCTGCCAATCAGAAAGTGGCCCACCAGCTACAAAAGAATGCAGAGGACTCTCTAGCCCACAGGCCAAGATGTACAGGTACCATAAAGTCTGGCAAGTGATCTAGAACCCACATGCATACATAGTTAAGGCTCAGGTCATGTGACTCCCAACTGTCTAATCAAAGTGGTTCCATGGTGACCTCTGAACTACAGGGAGGTCCCTATCCAGACACTATAAAATAGGACACAGACCACAGCCAAGCTCTCTCTTTTTGCCCTTCCTTTTGCCTACCCTGCTGCGACAATGGGTCCAGTGGTCATCCATAGCGTATATACCATGCTCTGTAAACCTGTATCTTGCTAGTGCCTATAATCCTATCTTTCTGTCCTCAGTAAACCTCATTTTCATGCTTGCCTAACTTTGGTGTGTCTGGTCATTCTTCCGCCATAAGAGTGCCAAGAATTGACAGTTTCACATTGAAACCTAACACTTACTTTTACTATACTTAATATATACAAAACTAGAAAGAACAATATAATAAACCCCCATGTACCCACCACTCAGTTTCAGCAATTAATCAATCTATAACTAATCCTACTTTATCTATAATCTCCTACTCTCATGCTTCAGGTTATTTGATCTCTTTAGTAAGTATCTTCACAAACAGTTAAGGGCTTAAAAAAAAAACAAAAACAAAAGAAACAAGGCTGGGCATGGTGGCTCACGCCTGTAATCTTAGTGCTCTGGGAAGCCAAGGCCGTAGGATCACTCAAGGTCAGGAGTTCTAGACAAGCCTGAGCAAAAGCGAAACCCTGTCTCTACTACTACAAATAGAAAGAAATTGACTGACTAACTAAAACTATACATATATATATATATATATATATATATAAATTAGCCGGGCATGGTGGCACATGCTTGTAGTCCCAGCTACTTGGGAGGCTGAAGCAGTAGGATCGCCTGAGCCAGGAGTTTGAGGTTGCTGTGCCTTGAGAGCTTGGGACCACAGTCATGCGCCACCGTATGCCGGCTAATTATATTCTTATCGTATATATGATATTATTAGTTGGCCAATTAATTTCTTTCTATTTTTATAGTACAGACGGCGGTCTCGCTCAGGCTGGTTTTTGAACTCCTGACCTTGAGCAATCCGCCCGCCTCAGCCTCCCAGAGTGCTAGATTACAGTGTGAGCCACCTCGCGGCCCCCCCTTTCTTCTAATCTCTAATTCCACCCTAGACAGTCTCACCCTTTTCTCATGGCTTCAATGTTCCATCTCTGCCGATGACTACCATCTCCATTTTGAGGTCCTTTCCCTTTCCAGTACCAACAACATATTCAAAATTTCATTTGTAAATCTCAAAGGAATCCTAAATACCTTAAACTGAACTCATGATTTTCCCTGACAAACCTGGTCTTTCTCTAATTCCCTCATCCCACCTCATTCTAATAAATTCTTAGTAATCTTCAAGCTAACTCCAATTCCAGTCCTCAAAGAACCCCTCCTAGACCTCCTAATAAGGACAATGTTTTTGCTTAAGTTTTTACTGCATGTGGCTGGCAAGCTCCCTGAGAGCAAGGATTATTCCCACTTTGCCCCACTGTTTTTATCCTCTCAGCGCAGTGTCTGACGAATAGTAGATAGGCAACTATTTACTTAATGGAATTACTAAAGAAAAATAAATGTAAACATTCACTTTGCTATTTTTCTATACAATATAAAGCTCTATATTAGCCAGTTTCCCAATTTAAAATGTTTTAATTAATAACTTAGAATGTGGCAAGTGTAATCATAAGAAATTTGCACATATGCAAATAAAACGATCTACATAATTGAAAGTCTTCCTAGTACATCCACAATTCCATAATTAAAGAGGAAGACAACTAAACAAGCAAACAAACACTTAAAAATCAACAGAAAACTCCAAGCTTCAGCAAAATAATCAAAATGCCAAATATATTTAAGAAAAAGCATTCAGAACAGTGAGCATAACTTCAGCTTGCCATTTCCATATTAATAAAATGTAAGCAATAACCTTTTCCTACCTGAATTACTATTACATTATCAATGTACCTTTTTGCATTTTTCCTTGGCATCAACTCCTTGGAAGTCTTCTCCAATCTATGTGTATAAAGGAAAATATAAAATTGCAGATTCCTCTAGGAATCAGTGGCACTGGATATAACTATTTAAGGAACACAAAGACAGTTGTCCAACCAATGACAATAACATTCTTAGTATCTGACTGTATGCATTCCGCCTGAAATATAATAAAATATAATGGTGATATATTTCTCTTATAAGAAATCAGTTCATTAAAATAGCTTTGAAATAGCAACTATAAATTTGTTAGAACAAAATCTTACAGTAATTCTTCATGGTGTTAGGAGTATAACTGTTTTCTTATTTATTTATTTGACTACTTTGTATTTTGTAAGTTTTCTATAGTTGATAGGTATTTCTTTTGTAATAAAGAATTTTTTCTCAAAGTTAAAGTATGAGACCACAATCGTACCCAGGCAAATGAAACATTTCTAATAACTATCTGAAAACTTAAAGATTGAAATATAAGTAGCTGTGGAGAAATAAATTCCCTCGAATAAATTTGTGTGTACTACCCAAAGAATTCCTCTAATTTTTCACTTTCTTCTAATTTTTAAGCAGTTAAGCAGAAAATTGAAGCAACATAAAATTAGATTAAAAATACTGCCTGCTCAATAAAGAAATTTCAGTGCATTTGTACAAAACATTTTAATCTC